TCATCCATAATAGTGCCAAAACAGAATAATTCCTAAGACATTTAACTCTAGTTCTGATTGTAATAAAATTTCCTCTACCCAGGCAATTACATAGATGAACCCACTTCCAAGTACCATTTTCGTCTCATTTCCCTCCCATACATTCTCATTTCCTTTGAGAAGTTTTCAAATTCTGTATGATCACTATCTGAGATCATTGTTTGGTACCATGCCTTGCCAGCAGCCTTGATTGCAGATGCCTCCTCCTGTCAACTAGCCTTTGAGAAGTTTTCAAATTCTGTTTGTGAGGAACCTGTCTGAGATCATTGTTTGGTACCATGCCTTGCCAACAACCTTGATTGCAGGTGCCTCCTCCTACCAACCAGCCTTTGATAAGTTTCCTCTCATTGTTTGCTAGGAACTTGCAAAATTATCTGGCACACACCTGCAGCCACGTTAGCTTTTGTACATAAAAAAAAAAAATATATCAAAAAGTTATGGAATGCAAGATTGAGAAGTTCACTGAGTTCGTCTCTTCCGGTAAAGCTCTGTATAAGCATGACACCTGCAGCATCAACACCACAACCCAAGTATCAACATCAACATCACATAAACTACAAAATTCAAAGTCTAACTTCCATACCTTTTGATTGGGTTCTGGTCACTCAAAACGGATCCATATGCCCATGGAAGCTCTCAACAGCCCAGCGCTCCCGACAGTTGCTCATTGTTTCATAATTCAAGCCGTCCATCGGGGTGTTGGTCATGTCAAACTGAATAAATTTCAGGGCATATGCCCCACAATCAGCACTACAATAGGAAGAAGACATTAGCGTTAGAATCAGCTTATAGAACAATTGTATTATGTAAGTTAGTTTTATACAAAATTTACCTTAAATCATTTTTTGGGACGGGACAGCGCTGCAGTGGCCACTTTCTGGTCAGTACTTGATCATCGAAGTGCTCAAAGATCCCGCTGTCACGCAACAACCGCGGGAAGAACATGGACAGTGGCTCCAATTCGACCTCCAACTGCTTGTCTCAACAAATAGTTGGGTTGCAGTCAAGGATCTTCAGCAACTCCTCTTCTAGATGTATGACGACTGCTATCTAGTGCATATCTCTGATGTTGATGATGCAGTAGACTCTTTTAACCTTTGCCCAATTGTGGCCATATTTGGGCCTTTCCCCCCATACATACTGCATAATCCTGTCATCAAACTTAAAATCACCAGCGATGCAGTCCAAGTCTTCTAGGCCCAATCTTTTTCGCTTGGCTCCTTTTGCTGCACCTCTACCAATGGCCTTTTTAATTAAATTGCGATATGTTGAAACAAGCGTTTGACCAAATGCCACATCGGTGATGGCACAGTTGGGATACAATAGATAACCATTACTGGTCTGTTGTAGCCTTATCAGTGCCAATACCTTATCGATGTGCTGCATCAACATGATAGGTATGGAAAACATAAGCAAAAATAAGGAAAATTAAGCGAAAATAACTCACCGAGTCTTGAAGCCACTTGCCCATCGTCAACAACTATTCAAACCATTCCCGATGATAATCCCCTGTGTTACACTCTACATGGACATCACTTCCTGATTCATTGCAATAGGCATAAAAGAGTTTTTTCTTTTCCTCCTCTATTGGCCTATACAAATCGACCTTTGAGTCCATTTTTTCTTGCCCACTTCCTCCCCCTTCCTCTATTTGTACATCCCCGCCTCCTTCGCCTCCCACCTCACCCTCTTCCATTATCATTGCCCCACTTCCTCCACCAATCCCCTTAACCTCCTCCATTTGTTTCTTAATTTTCTTTTTCTTTCCATGTGTTACTACTGTGTAAGGCGATTTGACAAACTTGCTCTTTCGGCTCTCTCTTTTCAATCCAGGTTGCACTTCAATCGCCTTTAATACTCCACCAACTTCCTCCTCCACCATACCAACTTTCTCTGCCACCTTATCCACTTTCTCCTCCACCCTTTTCATCCACTCTTCCATCTTGTCAAACCTGTCATAAACGACTGTTGTAAAATTCTCAAACAGGCCGTTTATGAGGTCAACCACCTTATTCTCCCGACGTCGAAGTCTCGGCAAAGCGGTACTTGTTGTACCGGTTTGCTAAGGCATACAAACCTCTTCCTCCCTCTCCCTCTCCTCCCCTTCCCTCCAGCCGATTGGAGCTTCATCATCCTCGGCGTCAACCACGTTCTCAAGCAATGGCCCTGCAACTGCCCTCACATGTGTGACCCCTGCTAGGTCTCGCATTAGGCGGTCTATCTGTTCATCCCTTTCATCCTCCAGTGCTTCGAAAGATGTGACATACTCATGTTCCGCTTCACCCCCAATAGCGGTGAGAAAGGGACGGACGACTCCCTGCAATAAGAAACAAAATCAATCAAATTGAAGCGACATTTTAAAGCAACTGCATATTCAAAAGCTTAATCCTTTAATCATACCCCAGCCGCTTCAATTTCAATGTTTATTTGGTCGTAATCCCAATGGGTACACTTCTCGACATGCCACCGCAACATCCTAGGAAATTGCTGTCACACATCCGAACTCTTCCCCCTCCCTCCCGCCTTAGCGAAGACAGGGACAACCTCATACATCCAAGACTACATTGTAAAAAAACAGTCCATATCATAATTCAAACACATATATTACAAAAAAAATATAACAAAAAGCTATGAATATTTACCTGCATTGCCCATAGGAAGCCAAACAAATTGTACGTGCTCGGTTTATCCTTCCTGGCGCATTGGGACTGCTTTAACGCCATGTTTTTCCCTTGTAGGGAAAAAATTGTTTGCTCAAATGACACCCATCCCCACGGATAAGAATTAAAGAAGTCCAAGTTGCTTGCAAACCTCACCCAATCCATATCAACGGCTTTTGTTGAGTCACCAGCCATTAGGATCGAATGTAAGAACAATACCAAGCACAGTTTGAACTTCTCTGGATCGTTAAACCGAACTCTTCATATCATCTGCTCTAAATCGCGTCCTATAATAGACGCTTTCCCCTGCAAAACCTTGTCAACCAACCTTACAGCTGCCACACTCTCCTTTATTGCCTTTGCCTCATCCTCATCTGACATTTTCCCACATCCTAAGTCGATCACCAAGGCATATTTCATCATCCCAAAACGTAGTGGCTTTCCATCCACCACGAACCACATTTCTTGCTTTTTTGCGCATTTTATTGAGTGTAGCAACATATAATGCACTCCCTACCCCCATAACGCCTTTTTCCAATTTGTTCTAATTTTCAAAAACTGACCAAAACAAGTCTCTTTGAATCGTCGTTGACCATTCCTCAATCCATCTAAAATCCCTTTTATTCTCTAAAAAACATCCCAACTCGACCTGACTGTCACCCTTGCAGGGAAGTATAGTACATTCTCGCTTACAATGTCCAACCTGTAGTCTTTATAGTTTACGGTCCACACAATCTGAACAATCGATATAAACAAAATATCAGCAACAAAAATAAACCAAAACAACTAATAAACAATATATCAGCAACAAAAAATTACCTCTGTGGATATCTTGATTTTGCCTCGTGCAAGATCTCTTAAGTGATCTGAAATCGCTTAAGCGACCAAGAGTAAATTGAATGAATCACTTAAGCGATACGAAAGATCACTTAAGCGATCTTAGATCTGGGTAGATGATTCTGCCTCGGACAAGATCGCTTAAGCGATCTGGAATCGCTTAAGCGACCAACAGTCGCTTAAGATGAATCGCTTAAGCGATAAAAAGATCGCTTAAGCGATCTTAGATCTAGGCAGATAATCTACCTCGGACAAGATCGCTTAAACGATCTGGAATCGCTTAAGCGACCAAGAGTAAAGATGAATCGCTTTTCTGGGCAGATGATTCTGCCTCGGACAAGATCGCTTAAACAATCTGGAATCGCTTAAGTGACTATGAGTAAAAGAGATGAATCGCTTAAGTGATACAAATGATCGCTTAAGCAATCTTAGATCTTGGCAGATGTTGATTCTGCCTTGGACAAGATCGCTTAAGTGATCTGGAATTGCTTAAGCGACCATGAGTAAAAGAGATGAATCACTTAAGCGATACAAATGATCGCTTAAGTGACAGTACAAAGCAATACTCCCAAAACAAATACGTACCCTTTCTTCGCCGGCCTCCTCGTCGTCGACCTCCTCCTCCTCGCCTGAATTCTCGCTGGTCTTCTCCTCTTCAGAATCGTTTTGCGATTCTTCTCTCTGTTGTTGTGCTGCCATCGCCTCCTCTTCCTGTGGACCACCTTCACTGATCGGATGATCCGCCGGAGCAGCCATTGAACTGGTTGCACCACCAGACTCTAGGATTCCAAGTGGCATTGGGTTTTCCTCTTCATTGTCAATGTCAGCCATGGTTTAGGATTGAATTTGGTGTGAAAATTTGTAGTTTCGATTGTGAGTGTGGACTGTATCGCAAGGATTTAGTTTAGGGTTCAAGAATTCGATTTTAGGGTTTAAGAAATAGATTGGAAATCGCGACTGTATTGATGAAAATCGCGACTGTATTCCATTTAGGGTTCAACAAATTGATTTAAGGATTGAAGAAATTGATAGAAAATCGCGACTGTATCGCCGGAAATCGCAACTGTAATCCGTTTAGGGTTCAACAAATTTATTTTAGGATTGAATGGTGTGAAAATTTGGAGTTTGGATCGGAAATCATACAGTCCCCGTTTAGGGTTCAAGAAATCGATTTTTGCCGTAATCAGTTTCGATTAAGCGATTTGAATGGGTGGGGCTCTTTTTTAAATTTCAAATTTTAAAAACTTTCATTAATTATGATTTTGTCCTTATATGTTTTAATCTTTTCATTTTAACCCATTTTACATGTTTAATGAATCCTAACTGTGCCACGTTATCTTTTCTAAATTAAAAAAAAAAATGAAAAACATTTTCTAGGCCATTTTGTTAAATGAAAACTTGGGATGGCCGGCCAGTTAAATTTTCACCAAAAAGAAGCTAAGTGCCTAAGACCTAAGAATCAAAATGCCTTCCTTGAAATTCTTCCTGTTGTTTCTTGTTCAGATCTATCTTGTTAGTTTTCTTACCGGTTTGACAAGTGCAGCTGACCCAACATACCTTTATCACGATTGCCCAAACGCAACAACTTTTTCCAGAAATAGCACCTTTCAATCCAACCTTAATTTTTTCCTTTCTTCACTTGTCTCTAATGCTATCCGCAGCAATGGATTCTCCAACGGTTTCTACAACGCCAACGCAGGCCAAGACCCTAATAAGGTCTATGGTCTCTTTCTTTGCCGTGGTGATGTCAGTCCCACCACCTGTAGAGACTGTGTCAATTTTGCTACCTCAGATGCTCTTAAACTTTGTCCCGTTCAAAAAGATACTGTAATATGGTACGACGAGTGCCTTTTTCGCTACTCAAACGTGTCTATCTTTTCTACTATGGACGCTAGCCCAATGATTTTGCTGTCCAATGTAAATAATGTTACAGAACCAGCCCGGTTTAAGCAGCTACTAGGGAATACAATGAACGAAGCAGCAACTCAGGTTGGTGATTCTTTTAAAAAATTTTCTACAAGAAAGGGAAATTTCACAACCTTTCAAACACTGAACTGTCTCGTACAGTGCACACCAGACCTATCAAGTCTTGAATGTGATAGTTGTCTTCAACAATCTTTTGAAGGTTTGCTGTCTGATACGGTGGGAGGAAGAATTTTGTTTCCAAGTTGTTATAGCCGGTTTGAGTTGTACCCGTTTTATAATGAAACAGCTACTGCCGCACCGCCACCGCCACCGACGCCTGTGCTCTCTCCTCTACCTCCTGTTTCTGTAGCTAGCCCTGAAGGTAGATTTGAACTAACGCACTTTGATTTAAATTTATTTCTTTTTCATTATTTAAAGTAAAATTAAGCTTTATCATTTTAAATTACCGAGGATACATTTGTTTATTTATTATTTTATGTTGAACGCACTGCCAAATTTTTATTCATTTGTTAATGTTTTGTTTTTATTTTAGGCACGATCATCCATGGCTTGAATCAAGCTGCTTTGCTTTTAGTCATTGGTATAATAGTCATTGGTATAAATCATTAACATCATTCTAGCATGTATTATAAGTATAAATAGAGCCCTTGTATATTGAAAAATATATTCTTGAAGTACAATTTCATTCTTTACATTTTTCTCTAGAAATGCTATCAGAGCCTAGGTTTAAGACAGTGAGTTGCTATTTCTATAGTATATGCTTGTCTAGGAAAATTATGTCACCAAGACGGTAATAGTCTCAGAAAACTGGGCTTCAAGTGGGACTGCTTGTGACCCTTCTGGTTTCTAGGAATTTTCCTAGTATATTAAACCAAATAAGCATAGCACTTACTACTATCTTGGTTTATTGCTCTGCACTGTCTAGGACCTCTGGCTTTGCCATTACGGTCCCCTACCTTTGCCACACCTCGGCACGCGTGCACACACGCCTTGCCTTGTCAGTTTTGCCACGTCATCGTTGACTCACCGTGCCATTGTTGGCTTTTGCCATGTCATTGATGCCATTTCATCGTTGACTCGCCATGCTATTGTTGTCCTTTGCCACATCATCGATGCCAAGCCATTGTTGACTTGCCAGACCATTGTTGGTCTTTGCCACGTCAGGCCATTGTTGATCTTTGCCATGTCATTGATGCCATGTCGAGCCATTGTTGGTTTTTGCCACGTCATCGTTGACTCGCCAGGCCATTGTCGGCCTTTGCCATGTCATCAGTGCCACATCATCATTGACTTGCATATCATCGTTTGCTTTCTTGTTAGCATTGACTCTATTTCAAGATCAACTATTTTGTCTTATTACAATCGCTTACAAAAGCTCATCACCCAAGACGATTTACGGAGTTAGTTTCTAATCTCAAGTTGGAATCTACGTTACCACAATGAACTTGCGGGGGGGTGTTAGCCACAATCAAGCAAAGCTTGATTTTAGCCATTGGCATAAATTATTAGCATGATTCTAGCATGTATTATAAGTATATAGCCCTTGTACATTGGAAAATATACACTTGAAATACAATTTCATTCTTAACATTTCTCTCTTGAATTCTTTGCCTTCCTTTATAGAATTCTAACATTTATATTAGACCATTTCTAAAGATGTTTAGAGGGGAAAGACAGAGATGATAATATTCAGATTGTTTTACAGCTTATAGCTACTTTTTGACTTTACACTAAGAAATTGAGCTTTTTACAAGAACTGAGTACTTCTGAATCCTAGTGTACAAAACAAAATTTTTACTGTTCTTGCAGGAAAAAGCGGAATTTCATCTTCAATAATCATAGCCATCATTGCTCCAATTGTTGTCGCTGTAGTGCTTTTCATAGCCGGCTATTGCCTCCTAATTAGGAGAGCAAGAAAGAAGAATAGCCCTATACCAGAAGATAATGGTAAATCTTTATAAAGCTATTTTATTAACCATCCAAACAATCTTTTACTTCCCATTGTCTGTGCATAAATGTTATATTTGCTATCTTTAGGGAGACTAAATTATTTATTTTCTAGTTGTGTAGCTGGATATGATGATATTACAACCGTAGAGTCCTTGCAAATTGATTTGGGGACAATTGAAGTAGCCACAAAAAAATTCTCAACTCATAACAAGCTGGGCGAAGGTGGATTTGGTGAAGTTTACAAGGTATAGTATTCATGTTGTATTTATTTAGACATAGTCGGTTCAGCAGATGATTTAACGATTTGTTAATGAATATTCTCAGGGCATACTTCCTAATGGACAAGCAATAGCTGTAAAAAGGCTATCAAGCAGCTTTGGACAAGGGGCAGAAGAATTTAAGAATGAGGTTGTATTGGTAGCCAAGCTTCAGCACAGAAATTTGGTTAGAATACTGGGATTTTTCTTGGAGGGAGAGGAAAAGATTCTCGTCTATGAATTTGTGACGAACAAAAGCCTTGACTATTTTCTCTATGGTTTGAACTGTCTCCATGAATTTCAACGATTCATGAGTCCAATACCCTTGTTTTGCATTCGACCAAATGGATTCTTTTATTCATCCTTTGTAGATGGGAAGAATTGCTTCATTATGCATTTAAACTTAACTCCTAAATGGTTTAATTTGCGATTTGATTTTGACATATGCAGGCCCTAAAAGACAAGCAGAATTGGATTGGTCAAGACATTACAAAATAATTAGAGGCATCGCCCGAGGAATGCTTTACCTTCATAAGGATTCTCGATTAAGAATTATACATCATGATCTTAAAGCTAGCAATATATTGTTAGATGGAGATATGAACCCAAAAATTTCTGATTTTGGCATGGCAAGGATAGTTGGAGTTGATCAAACTCAAGTGATTACAAACAGAATTGTTGGGACATAGTAAGTTTTGACTACTACTTGAGGAAAGTATCAAATGAATTAATTCATTAATTATATAGTCCTAACTGTTGAATCATAGAAAAAAATGTTTAATGATGGTTTACAAATTTCTACTTGAAATTTACAGCAGAAAGTTACAATGCGTCTTTGGGCTTTCTTATATTACAAATGCATTCTTCATTTGGTATACCAAATAGCTCTAGGCATAACATCTGGAGAACCCGTTAGTTAGCCTTAAATAAATTAATGTGTAAACTTTTTCAATTTATTTTCAATGGTTTCTTGTTATCTTTAATAGTAACATAATTTCTATTACACAGTGGTTACATGTCTCCAGAATATGCTATGCATGGGCAATTCTCAGTGAAATCCGATGTGTATTGTTTCGGTGTCCTAGTACTAGAGATCATTACTAGCAAGAAGAACATCAATTTCTATCAAACAGATGGTGCTGAGGATCTCATGAGCCATGTAAGCAAATTATATATTGTATTTGTTAGAGTAGATGCCCTAGAGCCAATCAATTATTGTAGAATTGACTCTTTGTAATAATGTTCATTAATCAATAATAAAAGGCATTTTATTCTATATCGCGTAAATCATTATTATTGCAATATGTATTGATATATGTCCTTAGAATGGTAGAACGGTAACGAGGGTTTCAAGTGTTTCAAATCTTGATAGTGAGAACCCTATGAGCACATATGGTGGCCATTCTAGAAACGTCCGTAGCCCCAGTATTTTCTGAAGTAAGGGCACAGATAATACGGTAAGGCTATCATAGTGTTGAACGACCATGTCGAAAGGCAGTGACTGATCTCACTTGTCAAGGTTTTTTGGCGACAACCTAGTGCAACACATGGGTGCTTGTTGTAGGCGGATATACCGCAACAAGTTCACTGGACTGACCCACCAGAGGATTCCATATGGATGGTAACCCCAGTGTCTATGGAACAAATCCTCTAACGAATGGTGGTGCATGTGATCCTTAGACTTGAGATCACCGGAGCACCTTGTGCACTGATTGGTGCAGTTTGACACTAGCCTAACACAGTTCTATTTAGATCTGTCAATACGGTGGTGATTGGATGCATCGAGGAGTGTATCAAGACTATGGTGGATTGACAGAGGATTCATCACTCCCAGGTACGAGAGAAGTTATCTCACGGCGCAATTCAGTATATGGCGATGACACTAAAACTGTGGCCACAGTGGGATTAAGTTGTTGCTCTATCCATATTATAATACAGGTCATCGGTCCAGAAACTGAATACATAATATCGAGAGTAACCGAAGGTTGACACTATTTCTATACCTTTGTCTCATCGAGATAATGAATGATGAAAGGAACGAATTGGACGGTAACCATATCGTTGACATGTAGCTACTTTGCTGAATCCGAATCTATCGGGTGGCCATGATGTCTTGCTAGGGGCCAATCTTGGTCTGTGTATTAGTGAGATGATTAATTGGTGTTAATCGCAATACTATACACTATCGATATGATGAGGAGCCTATGGGTCACACACATAGAAGACAATTTAAGACTCAAGAAGATAGAAGGGCGTTTTTGTCTTTTTGGGCAAAAGGGTATTTTGATAATTTCACAGTGCAATTAAATTTGCTGAGGTCATAGCCTTTATTTAATTTGTTAGAAAAAAATTAAATAAGTGAAATTCCATTGGAATATATGTTCGCATATATTTAAATAAATTATCATTATTGTTAAATGTTAATATATATATTAACTATATATTAATTGATTTTAATGATGAATTAAATTAAAATATCTAAATGGGAGTGTTTGGCAAATTTGGGGGTGTTTGGGTTGGAGCCCAAGCCCATTCCAAATGGGAATAGGGCAACTAAAATAACACTATAAAAGAAATGGTTTTAGTTGAAAGTGTATTTTATTTTATTATTTCATTCTTCATTTGAAAAGAGAGAAAACTCCAGCCCCAAAACTCTCCCACCCCACTTTTACTGTTCCATTGAAAATCAAATACTTCTTTTGTTTTCTTCTTGATTTCTTAAGGCCAAGGAGGATTTAGCAAATCCCTCCTTGGTTCTTGTTGATTGTCTTCATGTGGACCTCTACGGTTCGATCCTACACTTGGATCAGTAGCAAACATGTTCAGAGACAATATTGGTGGAGCCTCCAAACGTGGTATGGTTTCTCAAACCTTGAACTGATTTTTTTTTGTAGGTTTGATTATTTTATATAAACTGTGATTTTTGTACCTGGATCTTGATTCTAAGGAACGATCCATAGAGTTTATGTTTTGTTTTCCACTACATAACTGGGTCGTTTACTAACAGTATTTCCCCTTTGTTAGAGTTAGTATCTTTACATCAAATAGAGAGTGGAGAAATAAAAGAGTTAGAACTGAAGCTCATTTATCGTGACTAATTTACTATTTCAGGCTTGGAAACATTGGAGGGATGGGACACCGTTGCAATTGTTAGATTCAACTTTGACAGAGTCTTACTCGAGAAATGAAGTGATTAGATGCATCCATGTGGGGTTGTTATGTGTCCAGGAAGATCCAACTGACAGACCCACAATGGTAACAGTAGTTCTAATGCTCAACAGTTACTCTGTTACTCTTCCAGCACCTCAACAACCAGCATTTTTCCTTGGTAGTAGAAGGGAGGCTAGCATGGCAACAAAGGATTTTGACTTTGATCAATCTAAAAGCAAGTCAATGCCATGGTCTATTGATGATGCATCAATTACCGAAGTATATCCTTGATAATAGGGTGTTTTAGACTTTAATTCACTTATACAACCAAAAGTGACAAAAATGCTTGTTTCTATATTGTAGTATGGTGAACTAAAGGATCCTTCATTTCATATAGTGATCCTATATTGGCCAACTTTATCCAGGCAGATGTAGCCTGAAAGGGAGGAGATGTATGCTCAGTATTTTATTGTTTATGATATAATTTTCATTATGTGTTGTCGCTAGCCTTGATGGTATGCTCTATATAAAACAAAGTTTTCTGAGGAAAGAGTGTCAAATGGTTAATTTGTCACAACTTTCCGTTGATTTTTTAATCTGCTGCATTTTGAGTCTTTGAAACTAAATTAATTGAAATGCCCTTTTATTATACTTGAATTCTTAGTCAAATCTTTTAAAAATATGAGAATGGGCCAAGAAAGTAAGAGCAGAATTGGCCGTGTTGGATAGAATGTTAGGCATCTTGCATCACTTACGTCACTATCCATTAAATGTGTTTTTCTCTCATCTAAGATTCCTTAGATTTGACTCAAATTTTCTATCCTCTTCGTGAAAATTAATTGGCTTAAATTATCTTTATTTACTTGTGTAGACAAGTCTTCTCTGCTAACCCAAATGTATGCGTAGTGAACTGTTGAGTGAAGCTCTAAACGGTGTCGCATTGCGTCTGTTGATACGTTGTCGTTTTGGAGTTAACTCAAATGACTAATCTTAGCCATTGAATCCAGCCTGATCTAATGGCTCTAACCAGCCCAGCAAGTCAAAGATATAAAGCCAAAGTTCTCAGAAAATATACAATGAATGAAATCTCTCTCTCGCAATTGCAACTGAGTTAGGGTTCTTGTGTTAGGCTCTCAATCAAATCATGTAATCAGGTCACAGTTTGGGAATATTGTGGGTAGAAGGAATAGGTTGTTCTTTTGGTGTAGGCATTATGTTTTTGGGTTTGCTTCATTGTGATTACTGGGTGATTTGAGGGATTGTTGTAATAGTGTGAGAGTTGGGTAATTTTCGGTGTGATTGGTTTGTATTTGTAAGACTTTGATCCTTATAGTGCAGTGATTCCCAAATTGCTTGGAGCTCAACATGGATGTAGTTTATTCCATTGGAATAAGCGAACCACGGTAAAATCTTTCATGTTCTTGATTGTGTTCTTGATTGTTTAGTCTATTGATTGTGTCACTACAAGAATTTAGGCTTCTTACAACAAAATAATTTATCACTATAAATATAGAAATTGTGACCATTTTTTTAATATGATGAATTATATTGGTCACCAGGTTAGTCACAATAAGCTCGTACTCTTATGTGTATGGTGACGAAAGAGTGTTTGGTCACCATAGCCTAATTATTTATTGTGACAATAATAATTTGTCACTTTAAACTAGTTTATTGTGATAAAATATTTGTAAAAATAAAAGACAATTTTTATCACTATAAATAATATTTTGTCATAATTGATTTACATTTAAATACCAAATGATAAGCTTTATAGTGAGAAAATAATATATGATGACGAAATTGATTTTATCAAAAATTGTGAATAATGATTAATTTATCTTCTCATAATTTTAATAGTGACCAAAATTCATTTGTCATTGACTTTATTGTAACAACATTTACTTTATCACATGTTTGTTTATATGATAATATTATTTATTGAAAATTATATAGTGAAAAAAATTATTTTGTAAAAAATTTAATAACATGACAAATAATTTTTAATACAAATATTTTTACATGACAAATTTTTTATTGTCAAAATAATATAGGCGTTACAAATATTTTTTGTCATCTCAATATACTTTGTTTCTCCATTTCCATAACCTTTCTTGTATATTTTTGGGTAAAAGGTAATTGTATAAAGAATAAAAAAATAAGTCCCAACCTCTACAAAGTCAAGTCCCTTGGACAAGCCCAAGCAACCAAGCCAAAGAAAACAAAAAAGGTGGCATGGATTTACATTCCAAAAGGCCAACAAGCAAGCCTCAAAGAGGACCATACAAAATACTAGCAACACAAAAACAATGCCAGACTTTTGGTTTACAAAAGCCAACTGCATATACACGCACCAAAACAAGAAGAAAAGGAGGAAGCAGCGGCCTGCAATCTGTAAATAATTCCCAGCGAAAACAGCTCTGGAAAAGCTTTTGGTCAGCGGCGAGAAAAGTCTTCTTCCAAGCCTCCAAGGTTTCGACATAGAAATATCTACAGACCAAACAGTAATACTCACCACTTTGTAGGAGCAAGCACTACTAGAAAATCACAAGTGTAAGCAACTGCGGACTTGGCACAAGAAATATAATGGCAGGATAAATCTAGAACATCAATATAAATATATATACACTTCTTAGTCAACATAATTAGAACAAAAGAATGACCTGAAAACATGCCCAACGACCAATGTGACTTTATAATGCGCTTGAGATCCAAGAAATACAGCATTAGCATGGAATTCAAACCTAACGAGTAGATTAAGACTGCATTATGGCTAATACTTTTTCAGTTCAAAATGCAAAGTCTTTCACCTCCTCCACAAAAGCAACAAATATTTCATAGAAGTTTGTGGAGGTGAAATTATTATCTCAAAGAAGAAAAGATACATAAGGTATATTCATAGTTAATTCACACATCATGAGAGCTGACCTCCCATTTTTCAAGCTAACATCCAAGCCGAGCAAATTGGAATATTTGAGCCTTTTAATCAGATGAAGAGTAGAAGGTTTCCGACAAGTTTGTAGCCTCTACAATAACAGACAAAAAGAAACGTAAGCCCTGTTTGGTTTAATTCTCATAGAATTTAACAGAATCATAAATGTAAGGAAGAAGTCAATGACTGCAATGAAGAATACTGAAATTTGATTTCATTCACTGTTTGGTTAAGGGAATGAAATGGTAGTGTAACGGAAATGCCATATTAATGTATATGCAATAATTGCCGTTACATCACATAAAGGTCATCAGCTGAAACACAACAAAGCAATCAGCAATTTTGATCACGTTTTCACTACACTCAAGAGTCAAGACAACATCCTATGAAATATACCAATAAGATATTACTGAAGCAACTACATTTCAAAATCAAATTCTTTAACAAAAGAAGCAGAACCAATTTGGCAAGATATAATAATTAGAATTTTACCTCTTGCCACCACATTAAGTGGGAAAGATCCTTATCATTTAGAACATTATCATTTGATACTTTAACTTTCTTCGAAGCTTTCGTAATCCCTCTCAAAGCCTTCCGGTCTTTGAAAAAATAAATCTGACCAAACTGTCTGCTGCTGCTGTTACAAATAAACACAGTTCAATTGTTCATTCTCAAATACTCAGATATCGATACCAAACATCAATTTCTGCAATATCTTACAAGTCATAAGTTCCCACAATAACAAAACTCATACATGTCTTGTATCTTTTTCTCTCTTGAGATGCAGAGATTATAGTAGAGCCTAAAAAAAATCCATTAAGAAGTGAAGTAACATGAAACTAGCATTAGATAGGACCAAGAGCTTATTTCATACAAATTTTAACTAAAGTTGCAGACAATTGGATTAAAGTAATAGAAGCTAACCAATGGGTCTAAAATATGGCATATGAAAAATAATCAATCTGTCAATCCAAAATTGCTTACTCTAAGTTTTGCACAAAACTAATTATAAAAAGACTTATCATCAAAGATATGTTTTATCAATAACTCTCATTCAACTGAAACGTAATAAGCTTGATACACCAAATTCACTTGTTTTCTTGAGCTATAAACATTGTAGTATTAAAAGAAGTTGAATTAATTATCTAGAAAGCAACGAAAGAGAGCAAAGGGCAAGTACTTTGCCACGAGAGAGTACGGTAGCAATTGAGAGAGCAATGCTAGGCTTCTCTGCAACCTGAGATATGTATATTACAAATAGTGAGAAAGAAACAACAGAGCAATAGAAATCTATTCAATACATAATGCAAAAGAACTCAACAAGGCACAAGAAGCAGAGAAAAGATAAATCAATACTGCTAGTTATTTAGGATAACCAAAGAACTTAAAGCAAAGACATAATGCTGAACTCAACAAGCAATCAATAAGGCAACCCAAAGTTTGAATGTCAAGACAAAAAGTGCCATCAAACACAGAATCAATGTAACAACAAAATAGACATCTCTTCTTCTAGGGCTCTAGACACAAATAAATTTATTTAACTGTGAAAACATACCTCATGGGAACTCCTTGTTGCGAATGTGCAAATATGGGTAGGGCTGCATACAAGTAGACGGCATTCAGATGTTTGTCATAATGCATATAGTAGAAACCTCTACAAAAACCAAAAATAACCGCTGTAAATTCAAGAAAAAATCTTAAGGAAAAGAGAAAAATAAAAATACAGCTCACTGGAGGCTCTTCATAGTGGGGATGATCCTCTGAGAGGTTGTAAATGGCAAGCACAGTGCATGTAGCAATGCCTAAATATGTTATCTTCTCCCACTTCGCCGTCTCATCTAATCAAAATTTTTCGAGTAAATCAATCACACCAATTGAAATCTTCAAAAAGATGTTTCTAAATACACAAACTATATAGACAGCAAATATTTAGATTCTCATTTCGATAAACCCAAAAACACAACAAAACATGCCACAAAGAATATTTCCTTGTTAATCTCATCTTCAAAGAGATGCCAAATTTTATAGGCCTTTCATACCAAATCCAGGAACTCCCACACCCCGTTCACGATTCATGACATAATCTAATCCTCAAAATTACAAAACAAAAAACAAAATTGAAACATAGAATCCTTCAAAATACAGACCAAAATCGCAAATAGCCCAAATGCATGTGATATGATGACTAAATTAAAATATGAATCAAATAAGAATCAAAACCTAGATTAACGAAAGATTTTAGGGATGCTTACAAGCATCGTCGTGATGACCTAAAGAAGTGAATCCTCACTTGCGAGAAGCAAATTAGGGGTGGAGTTTTTGAGACGGTGGGGTGGGGAAAAAAGATAAAAAGGGGTTGGGC